TCTCCTCTCCTCTCATCTTTGTTTTCTTTGCTTTCCTTGCTCCCTCTTTTATTTTGAACTCGTCTCCTATTTTTCTTTTCCCTCCTCCTTTCCTATCCCGTCTCCTTGCCATCAGTTACAGAGCAGTAAAACTTGTCTGTTCTCCTCCGATTCACTTCATTTTACCTTCCCTTTTCTGTTTTTTCTTTCTCTCAGTGTGTCATTGTCTTCTCTTCCTCCTCCTCAATGACGTGGAGGAAGAGGAGGATTGATTTACGTGGTAAAAGATGGAGGGAGAGAGAAAAGAAAAGCTCCCACCTGTCTTTCAGCACCTGCTCCTCCTTTAAATCAAACTGCAGACAGGAAACACTTTATTACCGACGAGTTAAAGACGGAAAGAAAGAGGAATAAAAAGGTGGAGACAGACGAAGGAAGAGAACAGAATGAACTTCTCACATTTAAAAATGAAAGCTACAAGAACATAAAAACTGAAGGCGACTACAACTCCCAGGGTGCATTTCACTAACATCCACACTGTAAAACTAAATCTGTACATTTGTATTTTTTATGGAAATAATAAAATTAGAAAAACAGCCTGTGAAAAAACTGTGTCTGTAAATAATCATAAAGTTACTGTTTATTTAAAGAAATGTCCTTTTTTCACATAAAAAGATATATAATGGTTTTATTTAATAGATTAAACTGTTAAATTACGTTTCGGTTATTCGACTACTTTCCTAATTAAACATCTTAATAACCGACTCCTGATGAGACGTAGTTTTGGATACTTTGACCACAGACCAGAATGCATTGCAGCTACACTACAGGTGCAGCTGAACGCAGGAAGTGTGCAGGTTGAGGAGAAGCGGGTTCGACAGAGTGTGAAAATAATTATGAAAGCGGCGGTCTGGCGCTTCAAACGAGTTCAAACATTAACACTCTTCCAAGTCGACGCTTTTAACGGTGATTCCCAGCGGACTCGAATGCAGCATTATCTCTCTCTCTGGCTCTCTGCTTTGAACCTGTTCACCCTCTCCTCCCTCTCTCCTCCCTCTCTCCTCCCCTGGCAGCGCTCTGTACATTAGTGTAGATGTTGATCTGTGAGCTTATAGAAGAAGAAGCAGCCCGTGTTGGAGCTGAGCGCGTCGATCTCCCCTGTAAGCTGTCCTACATAAAGTCACTGATGAACTTCACCTGAACTCCGGCTGCCGTGGCCTGTTTTAATGTGACATTTCTTTATTTCTCTCTTTATTTCTCTCTTTATTCCATGAAATCCTTCTATCCATCAAAATGATTCACCGAGTTCCCACCACGAGGAAGCACTGAGGCAGGGGAAGAACATTTTACATCAAATGTCACTTAATTTCTGTCGCTCTCACTCTGAATCAATAAGAAGAGATGAAGTGTGATAAGGTGGTGAAGCAGCGTGGGATCATGGGAGTTGTTGTCTTCACCACCATTGTCGTC